AAAAAAGGATTGTAAACCCTCTGCTGATTGGTTAATTGTGCTTATCCAAATGGGAGCGCCATATAGAAATTGTGAACTAGATTTTGCATTGAAGGCTTTTAAGGCCATTGGGACATGTATTGCCTCTCAAGTAGAAAAAGCGGGCAATGGCCTCAGCACTGTTTCTTGCTAGAGTAGTAGCACATTTGTGGTGAGTAACCCAGCTTGGGGAAACTGATCCCCAAGTATTTAAATGATTTGACCTGCTCAATGGGATTTCCCTGTGAAATGTCCATGTGAACTGTTTCCAGGATTTGGAAAAAACTAGGATCTTTGTTTTCCCATAATTCAAAGTTAACCTGTTGTTGTTACAGTAGGTCAAGCATTGTTGTAAAAGACGCCTCAATCAGATTCGAGAACATGAGAGTAAAATGGCATCATCTGCATATAAAAGAACTGGGATATGGCATTGGCAAATTTTGGGAACATGTCCATCAGTTTCGAACAATGATGGAGCCAGGTCATTTAGAAACAAATTTAAAAGTGAAGGGGCAAGGATGCAACCCTGTTTTACACCTTTGTGAATAGGGATTTTGGGGGTTAGATTTCCCTGTAGATTGAATTTGACCTGACAACTGGCATGTGTATATAGTTTTTTTATTTAAAAAAAACAGTCTGGGATCTATATTTATTCTAGCCAACTTGTCCCATAAGAGGTCTCTTGGGATTGAATCAAACGCCACCTTAAGGTCTAAAAAGGTACCGAAAAGCTTATTGCCTGGTTTCCCACTGTATTTAGTAACAAGGTGTGATAGTACTGCACAGTGGTCCAGAGTGGATTTTCCCCGACGAAACCCTATTAGTTCTGGTCCTAGAATGTTCTGGTCAGTCATCCATCCATCTAGTTTAATTAGAAGGTGTTTGGCATAAAGTTTGCCAACTACTTACAAAAAGCTGATTGGTCTATAATTTTCGGGAGAGGAAGGATCACCCTTTTTAAAAATAGGGACAATGATTGCGTTTGTCCATGACTTTGGCATTATTTCAGTGTTATTTATTAAGGAAAATAAAGCAGTCAAAGGAGGCGCCCACCATTCTGGGTGAGACTTCAGTAGTTCTGGGGAGACTGCATCAGGGCCAGGGGCTTTTTTTGGTTTGAGATAAGTGATCAGGGTGATAATATCCTCAGGGGACACAGGTGGCCACTTGGGGGTCTCAGGGGAATCACATTCTGTGGGTTTGGGAAAACTACAAATGTTACCCTTGCC